CATTTCAAAGATCGTCACTAACAAAAGTAACCAAATGCTTCTTGCGCGTTGTGCCTAGAAATATTAAAGAAAAGAAGAAAGAAAATTTAAAAAAAAGACACGCGAAGATTCGATTTGCAGGGAAAACTTTCGCTGGATTGAATGGAACAGTGACTGGCTCTAAATTCCATTTCAAAGATCGTCACTAACAAAAGTAACCAAATGCTTCTTGCGCGTTGTACCTAGAAATATTAAAGAGGAGAAGAAAGAAAATTTCAAAAAAAAAAAAAAAGAAAAAAGAAAAAGACACGCGATTTGCAGGGAAAACTTTCGCTGGATTGAATGGAACAGTGACTGGCTGGGGAGCGGTGCAAGAGGCTGGCGCCATATCGCAAACTCTACAGGAAGTGACCGTTCCGATTCTGACGAATGCAGAATGTCGCGCGAGTAACTATCCGTCGCGAAGGATTACCGACAATATGCTGTGCGCCGGTTACCAAGAGGGAAAGAAGGATTCGTGTCAGGTAACGAAAGAAAAATTCCTGTCGTCGTTAACACGTTAACATCTTTTCGCTTGACAAACACATACAAATCAAATTGTTACAACTTTATACATTTGCATTTACACACATACGTGCACACCAAATTTTGCATACACGTTTGCTTATCGTTTAATCATAAGCGGAGAAATATGTCGTATGAACTTGCTCACTTTGTTTCCATTTCTATTTCCTTTATTAGGGAGACAGCGGTGGACCCCTGCACGTTATTAACAACGACACTTATCAAATAGTTGGTAAGATTTATGCTTCATTGCTTCGCAAAGAGTTGAACCTCTCGGTGGAAGAGATATAAAGCGAATATTTTGTAATTTAAAATTACAGTTTGAAAATTAGATTAGATTAGAAAATTAGAGAGAGAGAAAAAAAAATGATGAAATTGACAAATAGATTGATACATTTTGTATATTCTCATAATTAAAGTAGGATCAAATAGACCAATGACCCTAGTATTTCAGATACTTAATAAGAAATTTCATCATGCAATTTGCATTTTTCTATTATCAGATATTAATGAATATTAATTCTCTGAAGAATCAATCATTGAAATTGTCCATTCTCCTGATCTTCTGCAAATGTGTTTCCAAAATCAAAATTAAATATATTTAATACGCGACTACGTTAAATTCCGCTTTACATCCCATCCAGAATGACTATTTTACAATTAAATGGATCTACAAAGACGCATCTAAATTCGCAGGAGTGGTATCCTGGGGCGAAGGATGCGCAAGGCCTGGCTACCCCGGTGTTTACAGCAGGGTGAATCGTTTCCTCTCGTGGATAAGTCGCAACACCGAGGACGCGTGTTACTGCTAACGTAAAACGGTGAATAACGCTTTGATTGTTTTTAAATTCATCGAGCTTTGGCTGACTGAGAACTCGACATTGTGAAATTTTTTTTTTTTTTTAAAGACTAGAATTATTCACCCTCGCGGGATATTTCCTGCGTGAATTTAAGATTTTTGGAAATATTAATAGACGACCTTGATAAAACGAGTACAGTAAAATTAATTTATCAGCCATACGTGAATATATAATAGATTAACCGTCTACTCAACACCGTGCGACTCAAAAATATTCGTACTCTTTAGATATTATTATTCGTGTTTATCGTATCTTGGAATTTTGTCAGCAGCAATTATCAGTTTTTAGCGAAAAAAAAAGGATCTCTCGTCGAACATAAGCAAACGACGAAATCTCTATATTTTCGGAAATTTTTAAGTATTAATTTCTATACGTTTTCTATTCTATTTCATTGCATAAAACGAGTCTCAACGAAAAGTTGAAACGAACAGACAGGCTAGGCGTTTGTATCCTACGTTTGTGCAAGTGAGACGATTGAGAATTAAGGCACGTATCGAGCATCCGACTCGTAACATCGAACGCACGAGAAAGAAAGTTCGCCAGACTTTCTCTGTTTCATTAGACTTGGAATTTTGGTGAAAACTCACGTACCTGACACTCTGAGCGTTGTGCTTCATTTGTCGTGTCACAAACAAATCAAACGTCTCGCGTGTCGTTTCTGCATCACTGTTTCGCAAGTTATATTACACACACACACACACACAGAGTGAAACGTCGATTGCTTTTTCATCTAATAAAATTCCGATCGTTCGTTATTAAACGATTGTTTCTCCACTGTTTAAATAACTTCGATATTTATAGATATTTATATAATACATAGAGTGTTCGATAATACTCAATTTGTAATTTAATTTTAATTTTATTTTTGTTGTATTTTTTGTATTGCACACGAACTTTTTATATTGTTGCTATTATATAAATAAAATTGTTGGTATTTATCATCGTGAAATGATATATTGCTCTTCGCTTCTCTCTTGGATGAAAACATGAAAACTATAAAAGATGATAACAAGGTGAAACAATAAGATGAAAAATGAAATGACAGTGTAATAAATAATGTATATATAGGTGAAATATGAAACTATGAAACTATGGTGATTCTTCGAAATGATTTCATGACACATGAAGAATGTTTTATTTTATTTGAGGAAAACCAAGTATCCATGGATGTGTTCTCTCTGTACAAGAAAAAAATTGTCTTGAAAATGTTATAAATTGGAGGAATACAAAAAATGTACAAGAAGAAAGTAGAAAGAAAGGGAACTGTTGTAGAAGAAAGGATATAAAGGAACAATTGAAAAAGCTCAACTCAGCAAACAGTCTCTAAGTCTTAAGCCTATGGGATACTGCGAGATAGCGAAGCAAATTAGAAAAAGAGAAAAAGGAAGAAAATAAACGAACAGTGAAAGAAAATTGCTTTTGGTAATTTCATATTCTTTTCCTTTTTCATCAATCGACGAATCATTTCATAAATAATTCATTAAAATCTACGAGAAGGAGAGAACACTTGAAAAATATCCGAGAAAACGCATACGCCAATTAATTCACCATGATAGGTCTGTATACATCGCCATAAAATTAAAATACTTCATAGTTTCTAAAATGTGTTTCATTCAATAATTTTTTGCCTCTGAAGAACTGAAGTATTTTAAAATATTTATAAATAATATATTTCTTATATTTTAACAACCTAGAAATTCATATCGAATTTAAATTCGTATATATTAAGTATAATATATTTTGTTCAAAATTTTACATAAATTTCGTTGCAAAATTTAATGTCTAAATTTTTGCCAAAGTTTGTTTCATTGTAAAATAATACATTCTTTATAGCCATCAAGTTTCCAAGCAGAATTATATTGCACAGGCATTGTTGTACGAAGTAATGACTAAATATTTTAAATTTCAATTTTCCTCGATAGAACATTTCAACCAAGGATGATAATTGAACAGAACGATCCAATTATTCAATTACAAGAAAGAAGTACGACAAATTCGAATATTCTAGCTCATTCTCGTTCTAAATATCAGTGACTAGTAGTCCTTCCGGTTTAGCTTGTTGCTCCGTTGATTTAACGTCCGTTGCTACTGTGTCGGACAACCAATAAGTTTCCATGTTACCCTTACCCTGCTCGGAACAGTAAACCAGCGAATTATACGACACGGTGGGCAAGAATCCCTAAATTGAACTTTTTGCCATACGAACCTTGACCCAAACCAATCCGCGCGATTCAACGCGATAGCGATCCGGTGGTAATAACGCTTTCGCATCCGACGAGATGTGTACTTTGCCCGGCTGTGTGACCGTGAAAACGTTGAAAATAATTGATATTGACAGATTGATCGAGCCGCTTCGAATTCGAAAGTCGATTATTTACTTGTTGCGGCGAAAAAGAGTATATAATTCTTATTGCTTTCGAATTACGACGGAGCGATCGAATTCTAACTCTGTGATAGGATTAATGTTTATATTAATATAATATCATAACATTTACGTTATTTGAATTTTTCAATGAGAGCAGTACACGTTAAAGATATATGAATATAAATAAGTTCGTTGTTTCCAATCAACTTTTGAATAAAGAGCAAAGAAATCTGCTCTTTGAATCTTCAATAATTCTAAACAAACGAACTTACCAGGCTAGTTGTTTGCATTCTGGAAGCGGTATTCACAGTGTCACCGAAGAAGCAATATCTAGGTACTTTGATGCCAACTACACCTGCCACAGCTGGTCCAGAATGAATACCTAGGAAAGTAGAACATACTTGTACGCGATTATATTCGTTCTTGCTCAATCTTTCGAAAATATTAAAACGAAAAGTCAGGCTGTCTTTCGTAAGTAAAACAGCAGCAAGAGAGAGAGAGAGAGAATAAAAAAGAAATCATAAAGAACAAAAAATATTTCAAGTAAATATTCCTTGAGTTGAATATTCTCTCTGTTATTAATAATAATCTTCTCCCTCGTTGAATCTTATCTCTAAAGATTAAAAAGAGAGAGGAACGAGTCGAGATGAAAAATTGAAAATGAACTTCAATTAAAAAAGGAAATCTTGATCTTGATTTCAAAAAAGAAACCAACTGTAAAATATAAAAAAATATATATATATATATTGAAAATAAACCTTGTGCCAAGTTATATGTAAAGAAATCTCCTGTCGATGAATTTGAATGTCTGGTAAAAATAATGGGAAAAGGAAAATAAAAAATATTGGGATGTAAATCACGCGTCAAGTTACCTATACGAATTTGGATATCAACGCCAGAGGGTAACTTAAGGGATCGAACGTGTTTTAGCAGCTGCAACGATACGTCTGCGATGTTTTGCGCGTGATTTTCCGTTCTATCCGGTGCACCACTGGCTGCCATATAAACCCGGCCAACAGTTTCCACCTGTTGAGAGTCGTAAAGATCAAATATCTTGCGAAAGAGATCTATAGAAGTATCGGGATTACTCTGTCCCTGTTCCTTTTGTTCTCGACGCGATGAAAGTGGTCCGTTCGAATTACACGCGACACTTACTTTGTACACGTTAAATTCATCCATCAACGAGTCAAAACAGGAGTAAACAGCGTTCATCGACGAGACGATGTCCATCGCGCCCTCGATCGTCGAATAGTCCAGGTCGCAAAGTTCGCAGAACAGCACGGAGATTGACTCGAATGACTATGAAAAGACAAACGTCGAGAAACTAGACGAAATTGAGAATTTATTAATTAAAGTTAAAAGTACCGCAAGCAATCAAGTCAGTATATATATATATATATATAATAATTAAATTTTCAATGAACTTTCTTTTATTTCACTCTGCAAGAAGCAAGTTTTAAAATACTCGATGCATTTCGTGCATTCAAAATGTCTAAATCTAAGTGTGTAATAATTATAATAAATTTCATCGATATTTTAGATCTTGAATATATACCTCGCAGGTGCTCAAAGGGCTAGCTCCAGCACGCAATCGATCAGCAACTGTCTGCGGGATCATGGAATACAAAAGCTCGTCACTCTTATTCTTCCAGCGATCCAATAACGCGTAACTGTTCTCCAATTCGGTCGATCTTTGCTCGGCTCTCTCGAACATCATCTCTAATCTAAGTCACAGTTCATCGAAATGTATCACATCGACGTTTGCTGGCGTTTAATTGAAACGAGATGGGATAGTAGTAGCTCGGTCAGTCTTACCGGTAGTTAAAAAATAATATTGTACCTTCCGCAATGTTGCCATCCGGCGAGTACTAACTCACGGCTCAAGCCATGGGGGTTTAGATCGTTCAGGTACAGTCCCATGTTAAGCAACTCGTCTAGGCTGTTAATTCTGTCGA